TTTTTTTTTCTCCTGCTTGCAAGTACAATTTTGTATATCCATAGCAAACTCTCTTTGGTTATTTCTACAGGTTAAATGTCACAAATACTGGCCTGATGAAGGAGAATCACTTGTTACACAGACATTTGAGCTCAAACTTGACAGAGAGATGACCTATGCTTTCTATGTCATCCGTGATATTTCAATCACCCATAAAAAGGTATTGATTTCATTAAACATCATTATGTAACCAACATGAAATATTATTGTTTATTCTTTATAATGCAAGTGATAAACATTAGTGAGTTGATCATAACTGTCTCTAATGCATCCGATGATCCTCACTGTAGACTAAAGAAGAGCGTCAGGTCCATCAGTTTCATTTTACTAAATGGCCTGACCACGGAACTCCGGACACGTTGGAGCTCGTCCTCTTTGGCCGCCGTGTGACGTCATATAAAACACAACTGACGGGACAGATGATTGTACACTGCAGGTACCAATCTTAGTTTAGTTGTGTAGCTTATAAAGTGCCCAGCTTGTTGATTGTATTTTAGTCTATTTCAAACTTTATAGTTAATATACATCCTGCATTTTTTTGCTGTTGAATCTAATATGTATATATACAAAACAACCGAAAAGAGTTTCTTAGTTTCTACTAGCCCTTTCACCTTTTTAGATGGTTCAACAGGGGAACTGCATATTTATGCTGATAGGACAAACACAGAAAGTGATGACGTTATGAAACATTATGACGTAAAATCCCCCTTTGCATATCAAACATCTCTCAAACATTGTTATATTCTTCTTTCGGAATCTGACATAGATATGGACATTCCTATTATCAGTACAAGCTCGTGAATATTAAAAAGAAATCGCCGTAGCAAGGAAAAGAGGCATGTGATTATAACTTCATAAAAAATGGAAAGTTAAAATAGTAAAATTTCTAACGTATATTCAAAATCTTAAAAATGTAATAATAAGCCTTCGGCAGCATCATGTTTAGATTAAACATCAAGGTAAGCGACTGATGTAGTTGCATTAGTAACGTCCCTGTTTTTAAATTCATGATGTCAATATTTTCTGTAAATAAACGTCGTACGAAAGAATAAATAAGTCAGTCAATGATGGTGCTCAGTCTGTCCCCATGGCTACGCCAACAGCACTTCGAAAAATCTCTCCATCAAACTTAAAGATTGGTTTACATATGCCTGAAAAGCTAGGATTTATTGATAAAAAAATGTAATATTTTTAAGTCATAAACCTAATGTGACAGAAAGGTGAAATTATCCTACCAAGCTGTAATTCTGAAAAGACTTAGCAAGCAAGTTCAGTGGTTATTTTCCGAATAAAATCAGCTCAATCAGGAAAAATATTGCGGAAGTGAGCATCTCTGCTGACATTGACATCTCTGTCATGACTGCTGACATTGCATTTGATGGGGAACCACTGGCAAAGCTCTCACCAACAACCCAGGACGAGTTGCGCAACATTGACTCTTCTTGAATAGAAAGGTCCTGATGTGCATTAGCTAAAATGGAAATTGCATCACCCCAGGTCATCTATTATCCGTTTGGGATGGAGTAAGTTTACTATAGTTTATATAGGTACCCGGTAAACAACATTTTTAGTGCATAAGATAGCAACGAGACATTAATAAAAGATCTGGCCTTGCCATAGGAGACGGAGGGGTGAGGTCAAAAAGGGGGATACCGTTCATATTTGAACTATCTCTGCACTCAGATGTACAAGATTAAAAAGATTTTATGGATGAAAATGCCCCTATTAGTGCGTTATATAAATTGTTAGTTTTATTACCGTTTGCTCATTTGTTCCCATTGGTTTATATAGGGAACTAACACTTCTGACTACATTTCTTGTTCATTTTCAGCAGGAAATAATTCAGACTTGGTTGGAATAGTTATAAAGAAACTAAAAATTAAATAGTATCAGTAAATAAGATCTATACATATACCAGGGATTGGCCAAAAAGGAAAAATTGGCTTAAAAAATAATACATATTTTTTTTCACTGAAGCGAAATAATTTATTTGAATAGTGTTTTAAGTTGTTATCCTTTGGTTACATGATCATTATTTTATATCACTTTGTTAACATGTGGATTTCCACATCACATCTCAACAATGAAATTGAGCGACCACTACCTATATATATATATATAGCAGGTGACCGCTAAGGTCATTTTGCTTCTTGTTTAAGCAGTATATGCAATAGTGTTTACATGCAATTATTTAATTATTTGATTTTTGTTCTACCGATATTAATTCAAACTTATTCCTAACGCAGAGCATCGGGTGTGGCTCGGACGGCTTGGTCAAGAAATACAAATTTACGTTGGGTTTCCAATTTGGATTTCAAGCCGCTATTTTGTCTAGAATGATAGACCTAATAACACCCACTCTGAAATGTGTGTTTTTTATCCAGAGTGTTCTGGTTTTACGCCTTGCACTGTATCATTTTCCAACGAATATGAATAAAAAAAGTACCTTGAAATTCTTGATACATGTATTTGTCTGTAAATACTTGCCGCCTCATCAAAATACTAGCAGCTTTATATTATGTAGATTGCCAGTTTACTACATGTTGGTGTATAAAAGGGTCATAATGAAGTTATCCGAAGATCACCTAAATACAAGTGTTGCTTATAGTTAAATGTAGTGGTAGCAATAGGTTTAGAAGAATTTTAAGTAATAATCGGGGCTCTTACCTTTCTTATGGTCAGAGGCTAGTTCCGATAGACTTATATATATTTAATGCCATGACATATCAAACCTTGTTTACAAAACGCAATTTCATATATTTATAAAATGTCAGTTACCGGAGGTTCTGAATTTAGCGCTAGCAGCATTGGCTATTTCACCTATAAAAATCAATTTTATTCACAGGTCTCACCGGCTATTTGAGACGTCTCCAATTAAAAGAAAAAAGTTAAAAAAAAGTTTTAAAAAAATACAGTTTTTTTTTAAATATATTTTGATACGATATTATGACAATGATCCCTTCAATATCCTGATTAATTCCTTCATCAACTCGTTTAGACATTTTATAGATGTTTATCTCACAATTTTGATGGACAATTTGGCTGGAAATCCCACGAAGAGGAATTCACCCTATAACCTATTTGTACAGTGCTGGCATTGGGAGGACTGGGACTTTTATCGGTTTAAATGCATTGCTTACTCATGGCAAGAACACAGGAAAAGTCGACATTCCCAGATACGTCGGAACCATGAGGAATGGCAGAATGAACATGATCCAGACTTATGTACGTAGTGCCTGAGCGATTTACAAATCTACATGAAACAACGTATAACTTCTACTCTATTTATTAATTGATAGTTCAGCTGTCCATTGATTTTGAATATTGACTTTGTGATATATTTCATTCTAATCACTTACCCAGAACCGCAACATACTTACATCCAAGTTACTTATGTTAATTAGTGTAACGCTGAATATTACCAATACAGTACATTAAGCTGTTTCCATGAACAACGTTTGTGAAGTAAACTTAAATCGTTCAATCAATGATTTGTTATAAACGACTTTGCAACACTCATACTAATACAGTTACTTGTTTTAATTACAGGAGCAGTACATCGGCTTGCACGAATTACTTGTAGAAGGATTCAATTTACAAAAATCACTCATTTTTCGAGTGAATTTCCCTGCTGTCCTGTCAACAATGTGTCCTACAAATACACCAGCGAATCGGACAAAGATTCATCAGGAATTTAAGGTTTGAAATTTGCTTTTTGATTGGATTCAGCATGTATAATTTACCTTGAAATCTGAATGTCTTTGATGCAAATGTTTGATATTTAAGTAAAATCACCGATTAATAATACCATCATGACGCTTTTCTCTTCTCCTATGGTGACTCTTCTGTTGTTGCAGGTATTAAAATCATTAACTCCAAACTACTCCCCGAGTTGTTTTAAAGCTGCATTACTGGAAGAAAATTTGGAAAAGAACCGGAATAAGGACATCCTAGCAGGTATTTCATTACCGTAATATATTGAATTGCAAAGGTTGTAACTCGCACTGCTCACGATGATTGCCAATGCGATATTGAATGATGTTCAGTGTAATTCACTGCACTGTGTGCTTTCGGCAAGGTGTTTCAATGAAATACCACTCATCAGCATCACTTCAGCACTATTGCAAATACTGTCATGAAAACACCATGCACAAAGTTCAATGAACCGTTTGATCACTTAACTTTGTCATGATTTTAGCGCGGCTGTACTTGACCCATAGATGACAACGCATGCTTCACATGTTTGGATGCAATTATTTAACTGATATATCAAAGGACATGCTTATAAGATAGTGTGTATCATAAATATATAACATGTGCAATCATCACTGTATTGTTAAAGTACTCGATTTACGACTTGACAAAAATCACCTTCACGGTTCTCGCATGCAAACATAGCAACATTTGGTAGGTCTTTTGGTAGACTTTGTCTATTCATGTATATTCTGAGCTCAGATTGCATCATCGTGGGATGAAGTTGTAGGTTGTGTTTTTT